GCCGCTGTGTTCATGCAGAAAGGCTGGTGGACATTCGTGATTGGCAATGAGCACTCACACTCACACTTACCCCTTGACTCGTGACTCGCAGACTCGAAGGTGATAGCAAAGTTGCATCAACCGCGGCGCACAAGGACGATTTTGAATGACAGAGCAGGCTAGTGCGGGAAAGTGCCCCGCTTGTGCTTTAGAACTTGCTCGCATATATGCTCATCACACTTTTGACTGACTGAGTGAATGCAGCACACACACATGACATGCCTTGCTGCATGCGGGCTAGCAGCCGCGTGGCGGGTGTAGGAGTCATGAGTCATGGTGATCGAGTGCATCAAGAAGGCAGAGAGGAAGCAGCAGCAGCGTGCGGCGCGCACGGCCGGTCATCGAAAGTCCTCCCTCTACCGCACCGCACCTCACCGCGCGCACGGCCGGTCATCGAAAGTCCTCCCTCTACCGCACCGCACCGGTCATAAGCGGTCAAGCCACCGACGTCTTGATAGCGCTCAAACGCACACAAGATTTTCCGGTATGTACGCTATAATACGACCGAGCACAGAGGTCGAAAATCAAGTAAAGCTTTACGTTTCTTCCTTACTCATCCAGCCACGCCATCACCGCCTTTGGAAAGTCACGAAGCGGCGCCAGCAATCAGCAAGAACCGCGGCGGCAAAAGTGAAAAAGTCTCGTGACCTGACGCAGCACCTCACCAGAAAGTTTCAGGCAGACAGACAGGCAGGCGCCCTCGCCGCGCATCGCTTTGAGCTCGAACAAACGCGTCTCTTCACCTTTCGTCCCCTCGCCTCTGCCCCTTAGACGCTCCCACCATCCAGACTCCAACAGCCTCGGCACCTTTTCGTAAGGCGCCATGTCCGATGCCGCGTCGTCAGGCTCGCAAGATGCGGCCTCGTCTTCTTTGCGCAGACCCGCTCTGCCCGATCGAAATGCCTCTCAACATAGTGTGAGCGGAATGAACAATCAGCTTGGTCACATGCTGCGAAGTGCAGCCTTGATGTATGATGGCAGGCAACAAGACAGTGCTGGACAGGATAGCAGCAGCAGCAGCAGCAGCAGTGAGGAAGAAGGAGAAGACGACGACGATGCGAAGGATGAAGCATTGGAATTGAATCGAGTTGAGGCGGGAGCAGCATCGAGATCGAGCTTGGAGTGGAGCGTGAGAAAGGAAGAGGCTGCACTGGCGGATGCCAAGGACCGCAAGCATCGCAAAGCGATCTTTGAAAAGATGGACGGATTGAGACGACGCCAAGCTGCTCGTGAGTGTTGCTTCAGGCTGGGCTCTCCACCGGACCAGGACGGCACATCAGCGGGAAGCACACATCGTGCGGGCGCGTTCGGCAAAGTGCTTCCGCATTGCAACGGGACCCGCGACGCGCGCGGCCCGGCGTGGCAGATCCGTCGGGACGCGCGCGTCGATCGCGTGAGCGGCATCCGTCAAGCGTATGCCATGGCGCTCAGCAGATGGAGCTCAGTCTACATCATTCGACGACGCCATGTCGAGGGTCTCAGCTTGGCTGGCTAGGCGCTGCTTGGACTGGCCTCGAAGCGTCTCACGTATGCCTTGCGAGATGACACAACCAGGACGATGTTGTGATCATCATGGGCGGAGCAGCCATGTCGATCGTCTTTTTACCGGCGCTCAGGTCCGTCGGACGGCAGACTCGGGCGCCGAGATGGTCGTGAGGTTGCGATTTTTCAATGACTGACATGGCCTCTGACATTTCATTCCCCTTCTCACCGCCACGCAAAACAACTGATCACCACGATTGTACCAACACGCATCCCTCAATCGATGGGATGACCTCTACCGACTGGTCGACCTGCTCCTGACCTCACGTGCGGGCACACGCCGCTGGTATGCTTCCCAATGGCCCATCGAACCACCGCCTGTCCTGATGCGCCTATGCGATGCCCCGCTGCTCCCCTCACGTCAGTGCCACCTCAAGGCAATGCACAGCAATTCTTCGGCGGCGGCGGCAACAGCGAAAGCAGTGCCCGCTGGTCTTCGAGAAGCGACAGCTCACCTGCTGTGACCGAAGGGGCCACAACGAGCTACGACAAGACGACAGAGGATCTGACGGACTCAGAGGAGAATGAAGAGTTCGAGGACGACGTCGTTGGCCATGAGCGAGTACAAAGTCGCGTGGCGTCTGCTGGGCAACGCGCAACGTCCGTACCTCGGCCACCGCCACCAAACTTGTCCCCAGTCGCGTTGCCGCTGCTGCCAGTGCTGCTTCTTCTTCACCTGTTCTATCACATCGCGATAGGGATCGTCGCCGCAGCAGCAGCCTTGCGCTTCTACATACGGGCTTCAAGACTCCAGCCTCTGACTTCGCGCAACGTCGCCAGCGTGGAGGCACGCTTGGCTGCTCGTACAAGCCGTAGCCCAAAGCACGTAGCTTTGATACTTGCGCCTCCACCTCCGAGCACGACACTTCTTCTCGCACGAGCGGCTATGCGGGCCGCGGGTGCTACGCTCGCTCCTCTGCAGGCGAACCCGGAGGAGCGATGTCATGCGCTCGTTGCGCAGCTACGGGATGTGGCGCGCTGGTGCGCGCTGTGCGGCACGCCACGTCTGACAGTGTACGACCCGGATGGGCTTCTGGCGGACTCCTTCAACCAAACATCCGAGTGGACGCTGCGGTGGTCGCCGTCCGACGTGTCGACGACCAACAGCACCGAGTCCCGCCTCTTGGCACCTGTCGATCCCGGCTCTTCGCCCACCATGAGCGACAGCTTTGTGTCCTTTGCAAGCGCATCCTCGGCACGTAGCGAAGAGGAAGAAGGACGGAAGCACGGCGTGCACGATGATGCCGCTACGCGTGCACACGCGTCCGGTCAGCGTACCGATGAGATTCAACTGCGCATCGAGGTGCTGCTACCAGGCCGCAAGGCACAAGGCACACCCAGCGGGCTCGACGATGGCGCGCGTCACCTGCAATTGCATGTGCTCGGTCCGCAAGATGGCAAGGGAGCGCTCGTGCAAGCGAGCAAAAATTTGGTAGAGGAAGCGCTGGACGGAAAGAATGCAAACATAGACATTGCTCGGGTCGACGAGATTTTGCAGTTTCATGGCTACCCGCCTGAGCCTGATCTGCTTGTTTTGCATGGTGGGCCACGTCGCGTATGTTCCTTGCACGGCTTTCCGCCTTGGAGTCTTAGGATAACCGAGATATTGTGAGTGTTGCTGGGATCTTGATTGGGAAGCGCTTACGTTGGTGTTCACACACGACTACCAGACTGATCTCGGCGCTTGCTCCTTTTTGCAGCTACGATGCACGAGCACATCCCCGTCTTCCCATCTCAGCCGCTTCCTTTGAAGCCGCTCTGGACTGCTTTGCAGCGTCAGAGCAAAGGCATGGAAGGTAGGTAAGGATTTTCGTGTTGATGAGAGCGCCAGACCGCCTCGACAATGTCTTGTGACGCGATATATTCAGGCAATCAATCAATTTCTGTTGTCTGACCCTCATCATTCTGCTTTTGCGTTGTCTTTGGCAGGCTACGCCGCAAGCTGGCAGCAAAGCGACGCGGAGCAGTCGATGCAGGCTCAGCAGCAAGACAAGATTGTGATGAATCCTCTTCTGGCTTTACAAAGGAGCTCCACCGCTCTGCGCTTGAACATCTTGACGACGAGAGCGCCGAGCATCGATCTATTATGAGTGCTGTAACCGACTCGAGTGATGGGACAAAGGCGTCTGGTGATCTCAACGATGCGGATCGCAAACAAGGCAGCGGTGGCGAGGTTCCTGTAGACCCAAAAGCGCGCCTCGAAGCCTTGCGCACGACATTTGGTGACAGCGGTATGGATGGCACAGAGGTCTTTGTGAGTGATTGCTGCGTGCTCGAAGTTGAAGCGCCGGCGAGTTGCTGCTGAAGTCTGTTCGTGTCCAATGATTTGCAGATCGCCAACTGCCCGGCCGTCTTGACCCGACGCGTCATGATCAAGGGCACGCTCATCGTGACTACGCACCGGCTGTGCTTTATTGCGCATCTGACTTCGGAAGGTGCAGCTCCAACTGACCCTCATGAGGGTGCGACTCCACAAAACAAATCGAACGTGATCAAGCGGGGACCTGCGACGCTGCACCGTCCTGGTCTGCATCGCAGATCCAAAGCTTGGTTCGAGCGTGAGTAGCGCCCATGCGGTGGTGTGTATTCACACGCTAAGGTGTCCCCGCCCGTCTCTTTGTGCAGTCACGGCGGATGCTCTCACCGCCTACTCCTCCTCCACTAGCTTGTACAATCCACTGGGTTCAGCGCGGCTGGCGGAGATAGATGATCTGCTGCCGCATCACTGGGGCCGGCCAAACTGCGTCGACTTTCGCATCAAGGGACGCAGGATATTCCTCGAATTCGACACGGAGGAAGCTAGTCTCGCGTGGCATCGAGGTAAGTGACGAGGGCGATGTGATCAGCAATCTTGGAGCTCAGATTATCCCGCGCGCACCGCAGAGATCGAGGCGGCACTATGGCGCTTTAGGACGACTGCGGAAGAGATTCGAGTCTCGCTGCCCCTTTGCAGGATCTTGTCCATGACGCAAAGCACCTACCTGGCATTTGCTGTTGCTTTGTGGCTCAACGTTCTTGATGATTCGGGGAACGAGGGCGAAAAGGATGCGAGCGCGACCATCGAGTTGAGCTTTGGAGTTACAAGAGGTCACGAAAGCTTCTTGAAGGAGCTCTACGACGCACACGCCGCGGCAACGAGATGGCGTCAAGAGGTCGGCATAGATGCAGTTCTTCTGAAGAGCCCTTCGCCGATGCTGGACATCGAAGGACCTCAATCTAGAGAGGTGGACTTGACGCGCTCTGCCTCGGGAAGCGACGGCAAGTCTTTGGCAGCCAGAATCACACAGAGCTTTGGTCTGAGGTGCAAGCCCGACGAGCTGCGGCTGGTGAAAGCGGAAATCGTGAGTGCATGAGGAGTGTTGGTCTCACCTGAAAGATGTTTGAAAGCTCACTGTAAAGACTCTCTTGACCAGTTTCGCGCGGTGCCCATGCCAGGCACCATCGCTCTCAGCCCCGATCACTTCATCTTTTGGCGGACTCGTCTAGGACCCTTGCCAGACACGAGGCTGAAGGTTGGTGGTGGAGATGCGCCGGTCAGAGAGTTATGGCTCACACGTCTGCTTGTTGTTGCAGATTCCCTTGTCCGATCTCCAAGGCGTTGAAGCGGAACGATCCTTTCGCTGGCGGACCTTTGGGCTTCGAGTGCACATTCGCGGCTACAGAGACGAGTGGTTCGATTTCAGCAACCAAAAAGACCGCGATGCGATGCTGGAAGCCCTCAACGGTGTCATTGCCGAGTTGAAGCAGAAAGAGTCTCCTCGCGACGATGCGAACGTCAAGCGCGGCAGCAGCAAAGTCTCGGATGCAACGCGGATGCTGACAGCGGAGCCAGAGCAGACGCTGTCGCTTACCAAGGAACAGATGAAGTTTGTGAGCATCGCGCCCTGGCGCTCTAGCTTGGCTTTCACGAGCCATCCCATTCTGATTTGCGTACCCTCTACCCTTCTCGCCCCAGCTGCCAAAGGTGGTCAACGTCTCAGCGGACGTGGAGCACAACGTTCGTCGTCTTGGACGCCTGCGTATTGCGCTCATGACCATCGGTAGTCGGGGCGATGTGCAGCCTCTTATTGGATTAGCTTTGGAGCTGAAAAGGCATGGGTAGGTATTGTCCTGCAGTTTTCGGCCTCGCGACGTGCGCGTGCTGACTATGCCTTCTCTGCCGTGCCCAGACACGCGGTCTTTATCTGCTCTCACCCTGAATACCGCGACTGGGTAGAGGGCAAATTCGGCATAGAGTATAGAGGCATGGGTGGCGATCCAGCAGCTCTGATGAAACTTTCCGTCGAGCACCGCATGTTCTCGCCCGGCTTCTTCAAAGAGAGCGTTGGCAAATTTAGGGGATGGCTCGACGAGCTCTTCCGTGAAGCGTTCGAAGCTGCGTATGATGCCGACGTGATCATGGAATCTCCGTCAACCTTTGCAGGCATACATGTCGCTGAAGCGACTGGCGCGGCCTACTTTAGAATGTGCACCATGTGCTGGAACAAGACGGCCGCCTACCCGCAGGCGTTTAGCGTGCCTCCAGTGGATCTTGGCCCGGCCTACAATACCAGCAGCTACGTGTTGTTTGATGCGATCTTGTGGCGAGCAATGGCGGGCCAGGTCAATAGGTGGCGCAAGGTATGTGACCGCAATGCGTCCTGGGACGCACTTGTCCAGCTGACATCTTCACTGCTTCCTTTTCAAGCACATGCTTCATCTCGGACCCACCGATCTGACAAAGCTCGCAGCCGACACGATCCCAACGCTCTACAATTTCTCACCCAGCGTGGTGCCTCCGCCGTTGGACTGGGGTGACCGCATCTTGGTCTCGGGCTACTGGAACGTAGAGACCGCGACGGCGGAGAAGTGGGAGGCGCCAGAATCGATGGTCGCTTTCATGGACGCTGCGCGCAGGGATGAGCGCAGGATAGCGTACATTGGTTTCGGCAGCATTGTCGTGCCGGACGCGCGAGCGGTTTCGAAGGCCATCTACGAGGCCGTCGTTCGCGCTGGAGTGCGCGCCATCGTTAGTAAGGGGTGGAGCGAGCGCACCAGCGACGGCGAGAAGAAGGCTACAGAAGAGACCGAAGAGATTCCGGAGGAATGCTATGTTGTGCAGCAGGTGGGTTTAGGGTTCGATTCAGCTTTCGTCAAAGAGTCTTTGCTCACGCGATCGGCCGAATGCAGGTCCCGCATGACTGGTTGTTTCCCAGGATTGACATGGCATTCCATCATGGTGGCGCTGGTACGACCGGGGCGTCGCTTCGCGCTGGCTTGCCCACCCTCATCCATCCCTTCTTTGGCGGTGAGTGGCGGTGCAATGCGTCACAAAATTCGCGCATCTGATCTGAATTGCATTATACCGTGCAGACCAATTCTTCTGGAGTCAGCGCGTGCACAAACTGGGAGCTGGTCTTCGTGTAGAGAATCTCAGCGCTAGCGATATTTCCGACGCCTTGGTCAAAGCTCAAGATCGAATCATTGTGGAAAAGGCCCAAGCGGTCGGGGAGAGGATCCGCGTCGAGAATGGACCCGCAGACGCCGTGAAATTCGTGAGTGCGCGTGGGCCGTCATGCTGTCCCTCTTTGAGCTGACACCCGCGCTTCCAGATCTACCACAACCTCTCCATTGCGCAACGCAAACGCGTACCTCTGCGTGATAACCAGCCGAGGATGCGAGTGGGCCTTCCAAATGTGGGCCTATCTAGCCTTCCTACGATCTCTATAGGATCCGGCTCGGCTAAAGTTGATGGGCACTTTGAAGGCATTTCGGAGCATGCAGAGGAGGAGGTCGGAATGGATGCGGGCGATGCCCCTGTTACGACTACTCAAATAGGAGCAGACTCGATACCGTTGGCGGAAGAGCCCGTTGAAGAGGACTTCCATACTCCAACGGCCGTGGGCGAACGACCCAAGCGTCAAGGGACGCTTGGAAGCTTGCATCTCCCTCGCGCACTGTCTGCGCCTTTCCATCTGCCTGGCAAGCGCCGCAGCAAACCTTCGTCCACACAAGTCGATGCTCTATCCCTCGATCATTCCACGGCTCCTACGCTTCTCGAAGTCGGCACGCCAATCAGCCCCTCGCATGAGGAGTGGGAAGAAGAGGGCCAGGGAACGGCAGGTCATGCTGAAGAGGTGCGAAGGACGCACAAGACGGCGAAGGCCGAAGATATCCGAAGACGAAAGCTGCTAGAAGAGCAATGGAAGAAAGATCTTGAAGAAATGGAAAAGACTGCAGCAGAGCACGACCATGCCACGGATTGGAGCGTGGAACACAAAGATCGAGTCAAACGATTGCTTCAGGCTGCCGAGCATGGTAGAGTCTTTTCGAACGCCGAAGGCAAGCCTCGTTCAAGCAACGTCGTCAATACTTGAGCATAGGTGTAGTCGAGAAGATCATGTATACCGCCGCAATGAAAGATCGCGTGTTTGCCGTGTGGCTGTTGAACGCGTGGTGGCAGAGTGTCTTCATTTGATGTTGAGAAGTAGAAGCTGAGTCTTGCGAGTCACGCAGGAATAAATCGTCTCTCATCCCTCGAGTCCTTTTGCAATCATTCAGGTCCAGAGACAACAGAAAGGAGTGTCAGATTGGGCCGATGGGTCAAGACTTGGGCACTGCCCTGAGACGAGGTATATTGCAGACATTCGCCAACGGATATTGCGACAAAAAAGATGGAAAGTATATATACTTGTAAAACGAAATGTTTGCCATCTACGGCCATACCACGGGAAACGCACAGGATCCCGTCCGATCTCCTAAGTACGTAATGAGGTGGGGGACCACTCGTGAATCCCAGATGCCGTAGGTTTTTTGACATTTTTTATGTTCTGCGAGCGTTTCGAACTCAGTATCCCGCGTGCGCACGCCGCCTTCACGCATGGCCACGTCTCCGGCTATATATAATGTACACTCACCTGTTCCAACTTGACTACTCACACCTTGTAGTTTGTGCAATAATCTGCCAACTTTATAGCTCTGAAGACTGACTTTTGCAGGTGCTGGTAGCCCAGAATCTGAGCGAGCTTGCTGCTCGGCAAGCATGCCAAAGGAACGTTGCTCTCGGTAGATGGCTTAGAACGATGCGTTGCAGATGGGGGGAGGTGGAAGAGCTGAGCTAGAAATCAAGTCGCTCGTGAGCTCGTTATCAATGGCGCGCACCTACCCGCTCCGCATCTGCATCAGCTTGCGCAGCTACGACCTCCATGACCTCCTGCCTTGCACCTGCTCTGCGCAACTGTCAGCTACACCTTTTGCTTTTCTGTATGGCGCATCGTCGAAAGCGCAACTGGCCGATGCAAGTTACGATTTCGGGCATCAGGTCGGGTGAGTAATGACCCTGCAAGCTGGAAATCGCAGGGTAGCGAATCAAGGCTGTGAGCAACGCAGCACATGCGCGAAAGTTACGCATCAAGTCGAGATGAGGCCATCTGGCTCTTCTAGACACGCTGCTACCCATGGACCACAGATAGCGCTCTCCCCGGTCGAGGAGCTCAGAGCATTGTATGTCAATCAACAAGTTCCATACCCAGGAGTCGAGACGAGAGCCTCTCGGTTGTGGCGTGTTGAAGCATCGGATTGGAAGGGCAAGGCTGCAACAAAATTTGCAGGAGGTGGACTATTTCACGTGCCAGGCTTTGAACCGCCAGACGAAGCATGAAGAAAGACGGTGGCGGGAAGGACAACTTGATGTTTGCATGCCATGCGGCAGCAATTTCTATCGCCTGCTTGTGCAATTCTGCCAGCCTGCTGCGTGATTGTCTAGCGTAGAGCGCACGTGCCTGCGTGCTGTAGAGAGCGGACATGCGGCTCAAAGCCAAAGATGGGACTGCATCTCGGCTCTTGTAATGTGCAAGCTGCTGGACCCGGCAACGAGGTCCGAAATCTTTGCGCCCTCCCATCTGATCCAGCAAGGCGTACTCAGTAAACATCGCATGACACTCTTTGTCCACCAGGCATGCTACTCACCGGCCATCCTTCGTTGTCCAAAATGCTCGTTTGATGCCCGCCCATCGACACCATTGTATGCACCTGTATCCGCGTGACGTCAGCCGAGTGCCCATTCCAGCCACGTACAGCTCTCTCCAAGCTTTTGCTCACCTCCAGCAGGGTCTCGAGTCGGCGTAGTCGGAATCGACGCAAGCTGGTTGCTCCTCGTTGATGTGTTCAGAGCCGACGAACCTCGTGTTCACGTTTTCTGCCGCATCTGAGCATGCACCGACTCGTCTTCTTTGCTCGCGCTCGCGTCGCTTTCTTCTGAGCTCTGCCCTCGAAAAGGGCGACTCTTGCAAGCGCACGACGTAAATGTCTGCTCCTCGCAGCCTTGCGCTGGGTGCCGAGCCAGTCACAGAGGCAACGTTTGGGATCTGGGCGGCAGGGCTAGCTGAGTGCCTCAGAGTGGGACCAGGCGACTGGCTGGGTTCATGTGCTGCAGCGCCAGCACAACAATCTTGCATCTCGATTGTCTCTCTCAAGCTGACGCTGCAGCCCGCAAGCTTTCGCTCGTAGAGCTCGTGGTTTTGGTTTCGATTTTGGTTTGCCTTTCCATTTGAGTTTCCCTTTCTCTTCCTCAATCGGGATAGAGCGCGGTTTAAATCCCCACCTATCCTGCGGGTCCACGGCGGTGCAAGAAAGCGGCTGGACTGCATCGACAGCTTGTGTTGCCTCGGACGGCCTTGTATGTTCTTGCCGATCCACTTCCGACTTTGGCTTCAGCTTTGGCTTCGGCTTATGCTTCGGATTCAGCGAAGTGTTGCGGATGTCTTGCTGAGCATCGGCAGCTTCTGCATCGCTCGATGCGGAGCTGCCGGACCCGAAAGACTTCTGACACTTCATTTGCTCCTTTCTCGCCAAAGACTTGAGCTTGAGCAGCTCCGCATCCTCTTGAGGGAATGGGGTGGGACGGCGTGCGGAGGTGCTGTCAGTGTCGGCAAGCACGGCGTAGGTGTGCTGCAAACGCAAGGTCAGCGGCACGCTGCCGAGCTGGGCGATCGAGCACGTTGAATTGGTCAGTATAGAGACAATCAGAGTTGCAGCTGTTCGATTTGTCGTCTTGAATGGCTCTTCATGGGCCGCTCAATCTACTCCGCAGGTGGACCTCCGCAACTCACCTTGACAGTAGGCGGCCTAGCGCCGCCCAAAGCGTTCGAAATAGCACTCATTTCAGCATGCATGCTGAACGCCATTGCAGTTTGCGACTTGCCAAGCTCGCTAAGCGAGTTGGAAGTGTTTGTTGGAGCATCTCCGGAGAAACGCGGTCGGGTAAGGTTGTGACCGCTAGACAGCACCTTTCCTCCCTTGAGTATGACAGCCCCGTGTCTACGCCTGAGCCCACTACGAGCCGCTTCGGCAGTCGCGAGCTGCAGCACCTTGTTGATGCGCCTCGAAGAGATCATCTGCGCTGCGCGCGTAGAGATAGGTGGCTCGTTGGTTAGACTTGGGCTAGTGCGAAGCACAGGTGCAGAGTCGATGCAAGAGGGCTGCGTGTGTGAGAGCTTGGCGTATGCAGTCATTTTGAGCGAGGGTCAACGATGAGTGGAAGAGGATGAAGATGCGGCGAATAATTTAGGGTATGACAAGCTTCTTGTTCAGTCGAGATGGATCTGTATCGCTAGACGTGTTCGTGGGTGACTCGATGTGGGAATGATGGGGGAAGCTGATGGTTGCGGAGCACTCATGTTCCTGCATGCATGCGTGGCTGAGATCATGGATTCACGATTCGTGCTTCACGTGACTTGTCTGCACGATGTTGGCGGTTGGCGGAAAAGTGCGGAGTCACGTGCGTCACTCAAATCAAAACTTACGGCTCTTGATTCACGAGTCAAATCAAGAATTGGGCTGGCTGGAGACACACATAGACTAATCACGTGACTCGCTGGCCTGGCGCCGCGGAGGCTTCTGGGCTGCAAGGTTTTCCCTGCGCGCAATCGAACCCGATGGGTTCGAGGATGATGCAGATCGATGGATGATTTGCATGTGAGTGACCACCATCCTCACCTGTACTTCGCTCCAAACCCTGTTCATAGCCGGATCCTGAAACGAGGAACCCTGCCCGCCGAAATTGCAGGTTCGTGTGGTTGCAACTGCGCAATCGTACGGCTCTCCAACGCGCCCATTGCTATCTTGGAGGCCAGTGCCAAGTGGAACAAAGCTTGCAGCCAAGGCAAGATGATGCGCGCAATCTCCTCCGCCTCATCCACCCTCATGGGACGATCAGCAAGTGGTCGTCTAGCCTCATCAAGGCAATTCCTCTGCCCCTCGCCCACACACTCATCTGCACGTCACTTCTCACGCACACGTGCGCACTCCCTGCAGCCAACACCTCAGCTCGCCTTTACCCCTTCTCCCACTCAACACATTACCACGCCCATTCTGCTGGGCTCGGCATTGATTGGAGGAGGATTGTTGGCGGGAATGCTCATGAGAGGTAGCGGTGCCAGTGGGGCTGCGGGTGCGGGTAAATGGCACAAGGGCGGATTTCAGAACAAGATGGATAAGAAGGAGGCGGCGCTCGTCTTGGGCTTGAGGTGAGTGGATAAGGAAGAGCGGGAGAGTGTAATGGATGTGCAGGTCGCACCTCGCGCGCGATGGTGATGACAAAAGGAGCGAGAGTCGGTGTCATAGGCGAGGCGGGGGGGGGGGGGGGGGGGG